TTTGGGTCTTTTGTATTTTACAGAAATACTAAAATTAGCCATAAACTTTGTAAGTTTAAAAACACAGGAAGACACAGCTTACAATTGACCAAGTCCCCAGAGTATTTCCACACTGAGGGCTGCTAGTGTAGTGAACAGGTAGCAGAGCCAGTGCGTGCATGTTGACTTCAAGAATTTCTAAGAAATGAAGGAGGGGCAGGAAATTGCCAAGACCAAAAACTTGTGGTTGCTGGATGGTAGGTATTTTGCATACCTTCTCTCACTTCATCCTTATATCACCCTTGTGGGATTGGAACCATTGCCCTCACTTACTGTTGAGGAAGTTAAGGAACTGAGCTCATAGGGGCCAGAGTTAATAAGTGCTGGAAGAGAATTCAAACCTGATTCTATCAGATCCCACAGTCTATATTCTGGGTTTAAAAAAATTATTCCACAGTATCTGCTAGAATCAGTCACATAGCTGATTTATGAACGTAAGAGAGTGGGTAAATGATAAATAGTGGGTGGGGAAGAAATATTCCTGAAATGTCTACTATGTGCCATGAACTTCATTAGAGCATAAATTTAATCTTCCTAAGAACCCTCTGAAGTATTTGTTACAATCTCAGTTTTAGATGTGAGTTAGCTGAGGCTTGTGGAGGTTCACTAGTTGATGAGGGTATGTAACCAGCTAAGTAGTTGAATTAGGATTTGACACTTGTACTATCTGACCCCGAAGCATGATATCCTTTTATCATAATAATACTATTCTGCCTGGATACAGGCACACTAAATATGCATCCCAGCTCTGCCCCTTATTAGCGACTCAGCCAGTTGTTAAGACTTTCCAGGCCCCAATTTCTCATCTGTAAAATGACAGATGCTCTATCTATTTCAGAGGCTCATTGGGAGCAGCACAAGATAAAAGTCTGTGAAGGGATTTTGAAGAGTTAATAAATTATTAAAAATACAGCAGGGATTGTAAGAATATTAGAGTGAGGAGTTACTAATGTTTGGCAAGATCTGAAAAGATCCAAAGACAAGCCATGTCCTATAGCTGGTTATGTGTGATTGGAGAAAGATTATTCACTAATTTTCTAGGAAGGAAAACTCTCTGTTTTTTTTTTTTTTTTAGTCAGCACTGAAGCAAGGGTAGAGAAGAGGAAATTTTATGGCACATAGGCAAAGTTCTTTTTTTTTTTAAACTGGGATTCTTGGATGCAATTTATGGTCCTATATCTGGATTGTGCCCATATAACATGTAAACACTGGTACCAAGAATCTATTAGAGATCCTTATAAGAAACAAAAACACCTACCAAAAGCTGTATGATTAGTTTATTTTTGAAATGTAAACTATTGAAATGAAGTTCACTAATAAACTTAGAAATTAAGTTATGACACAACAAAAATGAATTAAGCAATTAAATCTTCTGCTGTATAATCAGGATTATAATAGCAGTGATATGGTTTGGCTGTGTCCCCGCGCAAATCTCATCTTGAACTCCCATGTGTTGTGGGAGGGACTCAGTGAGAGGTAATTGAATCATGTGGGGGCAGGTCTTTCCCATGCTGTTTTCGTGACTGTGAATAAGTCTCATGAGATCTGATGGTTATTATAAGGGGCAGTTTTCTTGCACATTCTCTTTTTGCCTGCTGCCATCCATGTGAGATGTCATGTGCTCCACCTTGCCTTTGGCCATGATTGTGAGGCTTCCCCAGCCACATGGAACTATAAGTCCAATTAAACTCTTTTTCCTGTATAAATTACCCAGTCTTGGGTATGTCTTTATCAGCAGTATGAAAATGGACTAATACAGTAAATTGGTATCAGGAGAGTGGGACACTGCTGAAAAAATACCCAAAAATGTGGATGCAACTTTGGAACTGGGTAACAGGCAGAGGGTGGAACAGTTTAGTGGGTTCAGAAGAAGACAGGAATATATGGGAAAGTTTGGAACTTCATAGAGACTTGTTGAATGAATTTAACAAAAATGCTGATAGTAATATGAACAATAAGGTCCAGGCTGAGGTGGTCTCAGATGGAGATGAGGAACTTGTTGATAACTGGAGCAAAGGTGACTCTTATTATATTTTAGCAAAGAGACTGGTGGCATTTTGCCCCTACCCTAGAGATCTGTGGAACTTTGAACTTAAGATAGATGATTTAGGATATCTGGCAGAAAAAATTTCTAGGCAGCAAAGCACTCAAGAGGTAACTTGGGCACGGTTAAAGGCATTCAGTTTCTAAAGAGAAACAGAGAATAAAAGTTTGGAAAATTTGCAGCCTGACAATGCGATAGAAAAGAAAATCCCATTTTCTGGGGAGAAATTCAAGCTGGCTGCAGAAATTTGCATAAGCAATGAGGAGCTGAATGTTAATCATCAAGACAATGGGGAAAATGTTTCCAGGGCATGTCGGAGACTTTTGCAGCAGCCCCTCCATCACAGGCCTGATTGTTTAGGAGGAAAAAATAGTTTTGTGGGTGATGCCCAGGGTCCCCATGTTGTGCACAGTCTAGGGACTCAGTGCCCTGTGTCCCAGCCACTCCAGTCATAACTGAAAGGAGCCAAGGTACAACTTGGGTTGTTGCTTCAGAGGGTGGAAGTCTCAAGTCTTGGAAGCTTCCATACGGTGTTGAGCTTGTAGGTGCACAGAAGTCAAGAACTGAGGTTTGGGGACCCCTGCCTAGATTTCAGAAGATGTATGGAAGTGCCTGGATGCCCAGGCAAAAGTTTGCTGCAGGGGCGGGGCCCTCATGGAGAACCCCTGCTAGGGCAGTGCAAAAGGAAGATGTGAGGTTGGGGTCCCCACATGTAGTCCCCACTAGGCTACTGCCTACTGGAACTGTGAGAAGAGGGCCACCATCCTTCAGGCCCCAGAATGGTAGATCCAACAACAGCTTACACTGTGTGCCTGGAAAAGCTTCAGACACTCATCACCAGCCCATGAAAACAGCCAGGAGGGAGGCTGTATCCTGCAAAGTCACAGGAGCAGAGCTTGTGTCCTTAATGGGGCACCATGTAGTGGAGATGTGAGAAGAGGACCACCATCTTTCAGACCACAGAATGGTAGATCCACCAACAGCTTACACCATGTGCCTGGAAAAGCTGCAGACACTCAATGCCAGCCCATGAAAACAGCCAGGAGGGGAGCCATACCCTGCAAAACCACAGGGTTTGAGCTGCCTAAGACTATGGGAACCCACTTCTTGCATCTGCATGACCTGGATATGAGCCATGGAGTCAATGGAGATCATTTTGGAGCTTTAAGATTTCACTTTCCTGCTGGATTTCAGACTTGTTTTGGCCAATGTCTTCCATTTGGAATGGCTGTATTTATCCAATACCTGTACCCCTACTGTATCAGGGATGTAACTAACATGCTTTTGATTTTACAGGTTCATAGGCAGAAGGGACTTGCCTTGTCTCGGATGAGACTTTGGACTCTGGATTTTTGAGTTAATGCTGAAATGAGTTAAGACTTTGGGGGACTGTTGAGAAGGAATGATTGATTTTGAAATGTGAGGATATGAGATTTGGGAGAGTCAGGGGTGGACTGATATGGTTTGGCTGTGTCACCATCCAAATCTCATCTCAAATTCCCACGTGTTGTGGGAAGGACCTGGTGGGAGGTAATTGAAGCATGGGGGCTCTCCTGTGCTGTTCTCGTGATAGTGAGTAAGTCTCATGAGATCTGATAGTTATTATAAGGGGGAGTTTTCCTGCATATTGTCTTTTTGCCTGCTGCCATCTATGTAAGACATGACATGCTCTTCCTTGTCTTCTGCCATGATTGTGAGGTTTCCCCAGCTATGTGCAACTGTACGTCTAATTAAACTCTTTTCCCTGTATATTTTACCCAGTCTTGGGTATGTCTTTATTGGCAGCATGAAAACGGACTAATACAAGCAGTTATCTGAGAGATCAATATATGAAACTGGCAAAAGACACAAATACTTGGAAACTATATATATATAGTCATTGCAACACCATCTCAAAGAATCTAAGCTATGATTTGTATGCAACTATCAAATTAAATGACTGATATTCAGTGAGACCAGAGATTGTACGTTAATGTCATTGGTGTGAGAATAAACTAGAATATGAGTATAATTTTCTCTCGCCCCATGTAATAGAAAATGTTAGAGAATTAATGAGAATATTTTTTATATAGGGTTTTTAAAAGCTAGGCTGAAGTCGTAAGGCCACAGGACAGTTGATTGACACAGATAATAGTAATAACAACAAAAAACAAGAACAATAATGCTGATTAAACACTTAATATATGCCACACTCAGACTTTTTCATATGTTATTTAATTTTTTAAAACAGCAGCTATGTGAAGATAGTATTATTATTCACTTCATATAGATGGGGAAACTGACTGAAAAGACATGAAGTAATTTGCCCAAGGTCACAGTTCGCAAGAGGAAGAGCGAGAAATTGAGTCCAGATCCTAGTGACTAGAGGTTGGTAACTACCACCCAGAAGAAGTTAAGTCAGAGGTCCCTATTCAATTTTCTTGTTTCTCCTGCCCTTCCTCTTTACCACCAAAGACATAGCCAGGGTTCTGCAGGAGTACAGGAGGGCATATTTTCTCTCATCACTTTGAAATAAAAACAATGGGAAAGCAGATAAAGGAAATGGAATAGAACAAATCAAACATCAGCTGAGCCAAAACTTCATTCTTACACCAGGATTCACACAGCTTTCTGCCCTACTTTGTCCTCACTATCCACCTCAATTTTTATTAAAGAGAAATTTAAACAATTGTAACTATTTTTTTTCCTGAGAAATGTAAGGACTAAAAGTGCAGATCATTCTGAGAGCACTAAGTCTAAAAATGAAAATTCCCATTCACTTTCCAGAAACAACTCAGCTTCCCTTCATCCCTATTAGCAGTTAATTGGTCAAGGGCCAAGGAGTAAAGTTCTTTGAGAGAACATTCCTGGCAACTATGCAACCTGACACACCTTACATGTAATGCTGTAGATTTTCAAAGGCTTTTATGTGACTCACCTCTACCAAGACATCCGTGGAGTTATTTTCCACAATCATGGGGATTTCCGGTTTAGCTTAAAGGCAAATAAAACATAGTTAGTGGCACCAAATGTCATCCTACCTGGCCACTAGTGTGTGTATGTGTGTGTGTGTCTATGAGAATCTTCATTCATCAAATATTAATATTTATTTATTAATATTTATAAATTAATATTTATTAATATAATACTGCCAGGCCTGCTGTGTACCTGGCAGTATGCTAGATGCCTAGGAAACAAAGGTGGACAAATAGTATTCACTGTTTTTAAGAAATCTGCAATTTCTTGGGAATACAGATAAACAAACTGGAAGTTATAATACACTGAGATAAGTACAATGATTAAGGACATGTAGTATTTGAAGACAGCTTTTAAATAAATTTTTTAACCTAACCTTGGAGGATAGGAGGAGGCTTTTGGAAGATGTGATGTGGTTACCAGCGATGAGTTAAGTAAAATTGGGAATGTGGAAGACTGGTAGTACAAGAGGAGGATGGGTGGTGGGGAGGGAGAGAAAAGAGGAATGTTCTACATGCACAAAGGCTTATGATATGGTTGTACTGTGTCCCCACTCAAATCTCAACTTGAATTGTATCTCCCAGAATTCCTATGTGTTGTGGAAGGGACCCGGCGAGAGGTAATTGAATCATGGGGGCTGGTCTTTCCTATGCTATTCTCGTGATAGTGAATAAGTTTCATGAGATCTGATGGGTCTATCAGGGGTTTCCGCCTCTGCTTCTCCTCATTTTTCTCTTCCCATTGCCGTGTAAGAAGTGCCTTTCACCTCCCACCACAATTCTGAGGCCTCCGCCATCATGTGGAACTGTAAGTCCAATTAAATCTCTTTTTCTTCCCAGTCTTGGGTATGTCTTTATCAGCAGTGTGAAAACAGACTAATACAGTAAATTAGTACTACCACAGTGGAGTGTTGCTGAAAAGATACCCAAAAATGTGGATGTGACTTTGGCACTGGGTAACAGGCAGAGGTTGAAACAGTTTGGAGGGCTCAGAAGAAGACAAGAAAATGTTGTAAAGTTTGGAACCTCCTAGAGATTTGTTGTATCACTTTGACAAAAATGCTGATGTTGATATGAACAATAAGGTCGAGGCTGAGGTGGTCTCAGATAGAGATGAGAAACTTGTTGGGAACTGGAGCAAAGGTGACTTGTTATATTTTAGCAAAGAGACTGGCAGCATTTTGCCCCTGGCCTAGAGATTTGCGGAACTTTGAACTTAAGAGAGATGATTTAGGGTGTCTGGCGGAAGAAATTTCTAAGCAGCAAAGCATTCAAGAGGTGTCTTGGGTGCTGTTAAAGGCATTCAGCTTTATGAGGGAAGCAGAGCATAAAAGTTTGGAAAATTTGCAGCCTGACTATGGGATAGAAAAGAGAAACCCATTTTCTGGGGAGAAATTCAAGCTGGCTGCAGAAATTTGCATAAGTAGGAAGGAGCCTAATGTTAATCTCTGAGACTGTGGGAAAAATGTCTCCAGGCTATGTCAGAGACCTTCACAGCAGCCCCTCCCATCACAGGCCCAGAGACCCAGGAGGAAAAAATGGTTTCCTGGGCTGGGCCCAGGGTCCCCTTGCTGTGTGCAGCCTCAAGACTTGGTGCCCTGTGTCCCAGCCACTCCAGCTATGGTTGAAAGGGGCCAATGTGCAGCTTTAGCTGTTGCTTCAAAAAGTGTGGAAGTCCCAAGCCTTGGCAGCTTCCACGTGGTGTTGAGCCTGTGGGTGCAGAGAAGTCAAGAACTGAGGTTTGGGAACCTCCGCCTGGATTTCAGAAGATTTATGGAAATGTCTGAATACCCAGCAAAAGTTTGCTACAAGGGTGGGGCCCTCATGAAGAACCTCTGTTAGGGCAGTACAGAAGGGAAATGGGGGGTCGAAGCCCCCACACGGAGTCCCTAATGGAGCACTGACTAGTGGACCTGTGAGAAGAGGGCCACCATCCTCCAGACCCCAGTATGGTAGGTCCACCAACAGATTGCACTGTGCTCCTGAAAAAGCTGCAGACACTCAACACTAGCCCATGAAAGTAGCCAGGAGGGAGGCTGTACCCTGTAAAGCCACAGGGATGGAACTGCCTAAGATCATGGGAACCTACCTCTTGCATCTGTGTGACCCGAATGCAAGACATAGAGTCAAAGGAGATCATTCTGGAACTTTAAGAGTTGACTGCCCTCTGGATTTTGGACTTGCATGGGGCCTGTAGCCCCTTTGTTTTGGCCAATTTCTCCCATTTGTATTTACCCAATGCTTGTACCCTCATTATATCTAGAAAGCAACTAACTTGCTTTTGATTTTACAGGATCATAGGCAGAAGGGACTTGCCTTGTCTCAGATGGGATTTTGGACGTGGACTTTTGGGTTAATGCTGAAATGGGTTGAGAATTTGGGGGACTGTTGGGAAGACATGATTGATTTTGAAATGTGAGGACATGAGATTTGGGATGGGTCAGGGGTGAAATTACATGGCTTGACTGTGTCTCTACCCAAATCTCAACTTGAATTGTGTCTCCCAGAATTCCGACGTGTTGTGGAAGGGACCTGATGGGAGGTAACTGAATCATGAGGGCCTGTCTTTCCCATGGTATTCTCATGACAGTGAATAAGTCTCACGAGATCTAATGGGTTTAACAGGCATTTCTGCTTTTGATTCTCCTCATTTTTCTGTTGCCGGGAAGAAATATGCTGGGTTTAGGGCATGTGGAATAGGTCTGTGATACATTTGGGTGTTGATTTCAAGGTTTTCATGGGTGTTTTGGGGAGACTTATTCTATATGAGGAATCATCAATGGATGTAAAGTAGGTTCTGATAAGATATGTGGTCAGGGCCACAATATATACTTGGGTAACACCTCAAAGTAGGTTAAGGACTGGATAAGACTCCACCCAAACACAACCCATCCAGCCAATTTACTAAATGCAAAAGCCAGGAAGAAGTGCCTTTCACCTCCCGCCATGATTCTGGGGGCTCCACAGCCATGTGGAACTGTAAGTCTAATTAAATCTCTTTTTCTTCCCAGTTTTGGGTATGTCTTTATCAGCAGCATGAAAACGGACTAAAGCAGCTTACAAATAAATTCTCGTTATAAAGATCCCTGAAGTGGAGCAGAGAAACCTTTGGCTTTTGTTTGGTTGCTTGGTACTAGGAAATATCAGGGAATATTTCAGTGATTTTGTTGTTTTACTAGATTTGAAGTGCCTCAAAGCCAGTATTTTATCAATTTCTTCATCTCCAGCACTTAACAGTGCCCAGCACAAACTAGACATTAGTACATCATGTTGAACAGGAGTGGCTTCAAGTACATTCTTGAGCACAGTAAACACAGCATTCTGTGACTCAGTGGAAAGAATGCTAAACCTCCAGTCACAGATGTTGTCAGTGCCTGCTACAGCCACTTGCCATTTACCTCGGCACACTGAAGACCTCTTACTGGGATAACTCTTGGATGACTAGATGACTCTTTGCATAACGATTTATTGAGATTATGGGAGTACACTTAGTCCACAGGTAGTAAAAACTGGGAGTCCCAGAGAGTTAATAGTGATAACAGATGGAGAGATGGTAGATAAATACCCCAGCTTTCTTGCCCTTCATGTGGGATAACTCTGATGTGTGCTCTATGCTGTCTCCCAGTGAGATGAGTTCTAAACCTGTGGTGGTAACTGATGTAATCTTGTACATTTTATTATCTTCCTTCCCTTCCCTTCCCTGACTCACTTTCTCACTCCTTTTCTGATGTTTCCAAGGATGGTCTTTCAAATAAATTAATCCCAATCCTTATCTCAATGTTTTATTTCAGGGGAACCCAAAACCAAGATACAACCTGAAACACTAATGGGTGGAGTGGTATCTCTTACCTCCTGTTAACAAATACCAGCAGAATAAAAGCCGTGAAAGAACAACTACTAAAATTTGCAGAGGTGACAGGGTGAGAAAGATTTTCTTTGAGGCTGAGGACAATCAGATTTGGAATTTAGGAGTGGACCAGAACAACCCTGTGATGGGCAGGTGACTCCCTGCCAAGGAAAGGAAAAACAAAGGAGACCAGTGAAGGAGATGCAGGAAGTGGCAAAATTGCTGGAGTAGCCCCTCTTGTCCCTGGTCTGCTAGAGAATGAAGAGTTGAGTAATGAGCACTGTTTGGGAAGAAGAAATATGCTGGGTTTAGGGCATGTTGAATAAGTCTGGGATACATTTGGGTGTTGATTTCAAGGTTTTCATGGGTGTTTTGGGGAGACTTATTCTATATGAGGAATCACCAAGGGATGTAAAGTAGGTTCTGATAAGATATGTGGTCAGGGCCACAATATGTACTTGGGTAACACCACAAAATAGGTTAAGGACTGGATAAGACTCTACCCAAACACAACCCACCCAGCCAATTTACTAAATGCAAAAGCCAGGAAGCAGGAAAAATGTAATTTTCTGAACAAGCAGGCAGAGTTTCATATTTTAAAGCATCCACTGAAAGGACTTCAAAGAAGAAACAAGAGAAATGTAGAGACAGAGATATGTAGAATCCAATAGGGTGATAAAAGTGACATATAAAAGAGTGAAAAACATTTAAGATCAAAGTAGAGGTATTTTAATGCAGCAAAGAGATATAGGACACAGCATAGATGTTGACAAGGCAATTAGATCAAGTTATGGTGCAAAAAATCTTGATCAACAGGGGACACAGCTTGCCTAAATTACAATTGATATTTCTTTCCACACTGAGGATGACTGCCTTCATTGGTTTGCCAATAGACCAGAGGAGGCAGTTTCATGTTTGCACTAAGACAGTCACACCCTGGTAAATAAACAAATGGTGATAACCAAAGAGATGAACAGCTTGTTTCCAACTCTTCACAGGACACTGTTTAGGCTCCGTAAGGAACCTGGTCATCAGAGATGATTAATGCCTAGTCCATCCCTGAGGAGAGATGAACAGAAAGAGAAGAGGGAGGATGCAGAGGAAAGGGGAGGACAGAGGAGGGAAGGGGGAGGCAATTTTGCATTTTCTTCAAAATACTACATTGTATGACTGCCAATAATAAGGCAATACAATTCCAAACAATTTTTTTTTTTTGCTTGCTCTGTCTGCCCTTTAGAGAATTGAGGAACAATCTAGCAGCCTGTGTCCATAGGTTTGTGAAGTTGTTTTCCCTTTGTTTATCTCATTTTCAAAAATAATTAATTGCCTATCCATCTCACTGCTTTTCTCTTTGCCTTCTTTAAAATTGACTTTCTAAAAGACACAGATCTTTGTCACAAAAAATGAAAAAAACATCCAAAGGCAGGGACTTCTCTTTATTAACAGTGTTTATTAATTAGTGGTACTTTCTTGTACCACTGGGGAAAATAGAATTCTAACCTTTCTTCCTTAAATTTGCACCCTGCAGATACTCTGCATGTTGAGTGAGGCCACAGTGGATTTCACAGCTCAGCTCCACAATCCCGACAGTGCAGGTTCAGAGGCCTTTCCTGAAGGCTCCTTTGCCCGAAGGGCTGGACCTGACTGTCTCACCCCAGCTGGCCTTGGCAGGATAGCAGGGGAGGAGGAACTTCTGCAGTTTCCCTGGGGCTATATTTATCACCTTCCTTTTCTCACTGACCTTATTCCACCTTGCTCAAGCAAGCAACTAAGACAATTAGACAACTAAGCAATTAGACTTTGGCGCTACAATTAAAGAGACTTCCAGTATTCTGAGAAACATTAAAGTTGTAAATAAGATAGTGGTCACCAGGAAATTGATCTGTCTGCTATGGTTTGAATGTCCACTCCAAAATTTATGTTGAAATTTAATCTCCAGTGTGGCAGTATTGACAGCTGGGGTCTTTCATGGGTGACTGAATCATCAGGTCTCTGTCCTTATGAATAAGATTAATCCATTTATGCATTAAAGGGTTATTGGAGTCATGAGTTATGATGGGAGGGCAACTGGTGGCCTTATAAGAAGAGGAAGAGAGACCTGAGTTAGCACATTCGCAAACTCTGTCCCCTTGCCGTGTGATACCCTGTGCCATCTTGGGATTCTTCAGTTAGTCCCCCCATCAGCAAGAAGGTTCTCACCAGATGCATCCCCTCGACCTTGGATTTAGCCTCCATAACTGTAAGTAACAAATTCCTTTTCTTTATAAATTACTCAGTTTCAGGTATTCCATTGTAAGCAACAGAAAATGGACCAATACAGAAAATTATTGCTTTCTGTGTGATTTTATTCTGTTAATGGAATCATTATTCTTTAGCATTCTACCATCATCCTCATCCCCAACAAGAATGACAAATATCCAGGGAAACAGACTCCAGCATTGTTACCCACGTGTGGTGGCTCTGCAGCATAATAGAGTGCTTCCTCTTCAGGGAAGAGCAGGGCAAGAGACAGGAGGGTGTCAGGGAGTCTGTAGAACAACAGCCCTTACCAAAAACCTTGATTGTGGTGGAGCTCCTCAAGATTTTGTCAGGACCGACTCTAATGTGGCAAGAGAACTTCCGCCCATCATCGAAGATTTGGACTGGAGAGAGGTGGAGTCTGTAGTCTGTACCAACCTTGACTCTATCTTTAAGTAATGTGGAACTGCTGATGAGGTGATCTTGGGAGATAAGTGTTTGCTGAGTTCCATTATCCTCCTGGTGAGAAAAATCATTACCAGTTATTGAGCCCTCAACTGTGCCAGCTCTGAACTAGGCGTTTCACAAGCATCGATTCATTTATTTTTTGTAAAGTAGAGAGGAAGAATGAAGGATGGAAATTAAGAGACATTTAGTATATTACTAAAGAAAGTATACACTTGACTTTCAGTTAAAAACTATTGTCACCTTCTCCTAACAAATGGAAACATTCTGTTCTTCTGACTAGACCTTCTCCTTCATAATCTTCTATGAACTGCATATCTAGAGTAGGATTTGGGGGCTGGAATGGGTGCGGAACTAATGGCAGATTTTAATTTTCATTTAAGAAGTTCTGGCATCTTACTGCTAAGATGTGCTGAGAAGACTGTATCAGTGTGAAGATTTCATAAAATCTTCTCAAAGTCTTCTAGTGAAATGTTGGCACCCAACAGTGAGTACCTCCTTAAATTTTGTGCCCTGGGCACCTCCTCGCCTCCTTTTGCAGCCTTGTTCTGGTCCTAACCCTATTCTCTTTTTTACTGTGTTTGTGTTAGCTTCAAAGAGGATGCATGAAGAGTAGGCTGAAAATGTTAATCTGAATTTTGGAGATCAGAGTATATTTGAGGTACTTGGTTTTTCTATACCGTATCCTTTCTTCCATCTGTGATGAAAAGCACTATTATTCTCTCTGTGCCTGGAATTTTTTTGGACAAGCTCCCTGGGTTGTCACAGTGTTGATTGACGTCAATAAACGTGCTCACTAGGGGCCCAGTGAGGAGGGGATTCTTGAGGGGCACAGGGGTAGAGGATGGGTTAGGTCTTCAGACCCCGTTAGTATGACTCAGCATTCTCGGTTGCGCTGCTTTTAAAACACCCCGATGCACACGCTTCTCTTCTAGAGATTCTAATTTAGTCTGTCTGGGATAAGGCCATGGCTAGGACAGTTGTTTTTAAGGTACTCAGGGGATCCAGGGCTGACATCTACTGGCCTAACTCTAAACAACAGATGAATCCTTGTGCACAGGCATCAGGGGAAATGGAGGGAATTAAAATGGAGAGGGATAAACAGGAATGCATTCAATGGGGGGAAATGTTACAAAATAATGATAAGATCTATGAATTGGAATCTCTAGCTTTAAAAATGAGACAGATCAGGCTACACGAAATGGAAACCCCATTCAAGTATGGGCAGAAACAGAGGAAGGACTAAAGCAGACTTCTTAAATAGTTTAAAGAGATAATTCCAAAATATACTTAGTAGAAACTCTTATGTAAGACACAGTTCTTTAGCTGAATCCGGCTAGGATTTGTGACAGTCTTACATGCAGATAGTATTGTGTTATTGCCTGCAAATAATCACACTCTGCTGAATTCTTTTTCCTGAAGCAATTTTCATACCTTTTACCCTTAGAAAGAAGGACCCAAGAATCTGTGCTGCTGTTTTCTTTAAAGAAGAAAAGCACAAGAAAAAGAGAGAAAGACTGTATTACAGAGACAGGATCCTCCAGAGGAGCTCTAAGTATTGGGTGGGGACAGGAGAAGAAAGTGGAAAGCATGTCACTCAGCACTGGCAGGTCTGGAGGTCAGTAATTAAGAAGGCAGGTAACCCCTGCAGATCTTTTGGCACAGGTATGTTTGGCAGCCTCTTGCTTTTTTGTGTGTGTCAGGATTTTAGAGTTGAAAATGTTCCTTGGTCATTTAGTATATGACTACCATTTGGAACAGTTCCATCAACTGTCACTTTGTTGTGGGAAAAAGAGCAGTTACATGCTGAAGTTGGAGACTGGTGAGAAAAACCACTTTTTTCTTTATTATATAGCAGATTGTGACTAGGTGGTTTAGTTGATAGAGAAAAAATACAAAACCTTTCAACTTTTTCCAAAGGTTGCTTTTTTCCCCTGGGCAGTTGACTTTTGCAGAAAGAAGGTTTGTTCCTTCATTGGAAAAGATGGGATTCAGTTGCAAAGAACGCCCTGTAACCTACAAGATAAGGAGATCCTGAGACATTCTAGAGTCTTCAGTTATAAAGGGGGCAGTAGCAAGAACTTACAATGAGTGGCTGCCTTCATAGAGCAAATGGGAGGAGAGGTGAAAAAATTAGCACAGGCAAACAACAAAATGCCTAGGGATGGGAGAGGGAGAAAAATACTAATATTATGTTATGACCACTATTAAAATTTCATATTCTTACTAGTCATAGTTTAAATTTATTTAGTACCTATTATATTGTAAGAATTCTGCAAAGTCCTTTCACGTCTTGTTTACTCCTTACAACTATGTAAAATAAATTGAGGCTAAAAATTTGCTCAAATATCACACAAAGTAAGAGGTATTTAAGAAACAGCATCAAAAAGCAAGGATGCCCAGAACCGAGGACAAATGTCTCCGATACAATTTTTACTAATAAGAACCAAACTGTGAAATAACAATAATAAATTTTAAAAAACTTTCTGAAGTATACAGAGTGAGAAGTTTAACAGAAACTTTAGAAAGCTAGAACCTTTCATGTGAGTTATAGATTACAGGGGTGTGGGCAATTTGCTGATTGAAAGGGGCCTTTGTATGACATATTGACCCACTTTTGGTGATAGGTGTTTAGAGCATACCTCAACTCCTACTTGATAATAATGCTCTCAGCTAACCTAGTCTTCAGGAAACAGACTGGTGGAGGCTAGAACCTGCATGTGAAAGCCTGATTTCTATCAGGTTTTTCTTTTCCTGTTCTTCAAAGAAAAAAATTGCTCACTTTAAAAATTATTAAGTATTTCTAAAACTTTATGGATTCATACCTTGGTAGACTCTCACATTTTAATGGGAAATATAGATTTAATGAGCTAACATATATGATATACTTACTCTAGTCCTGACACTTAATAGATGTTCAATAATACAAGTTTATTATTATCTAGTCCAGCCTATGAGATCAACCTGCTATTTCATGAGTATTCATTATGTGCCTGGCTAAATTGAGGAATTATGGAGATTCATTGCTATGGTTTGAATGTTTTTGTCCCTTCCAAAACTCATATGGAAACTTAATCCCCAATGGCACAGTGTTGGGAGGAGAAGCCTAATGGGAGATCCAAAGGGCTCTGCCCTCATAAATGCATTAATGCCTCTGTACAAAGTGCTTGTAGTAGTGAATTCTCTCTCTTCTGCTCTTCTGCCATGTGGGGACACAGTTTTTTGGTCCTCTTTGGAGAATACAGCATTCAAGGTGCCATCTTGGAAGCACAGAGACCAGGTTCTAACCTGCTGGCACCTTGATTTTGGACTTCCCAGCCTCCAGAACTGTGAGAGAATAAATTTCTGTTTATAAATTTCTCAGTTTCAGATATTCTGTTATATGCAGCAGCACAAAATAGACTAAGACAGTTATAAAGTCATGAATAGCTCAATCTGCTCTCTTGCCAGTGTCAACCCTTATACACTAGCCCTTGGGGGACAAAATGGCCATGAAGCCCAGGAACAACAAGTTGATTGAAAATACTGTTCCTTAAACAATATAAATGTAGTAAGGTCTCAAAAACACACAAGCAACAGTCCGCCTTTATTTACAAATTTGATATTTTGTTCATCATGGATTTTCCCTAGCTTCTGATTTTTAAAAATATTGTATCAAAATATTTATCTTGATTGCTAATTTTTTTGTGCTCCCTTAAATTTTGCTCCCAAGATTAAGAGCCTTACTTGCTTCACTCTAACCCCAGCCCTTAGGTCGCATAGCTAGTAAGTAGTGGAGATCCAGATCTTGAAAACAGGAATTTCCCTCCAAAAGTCACATTGTTAATGACTTTGCTATATATAGTCTCACAAAAGTAGTAGAAGAAACAGTCTTTGCCTTTCCTACATATAATCTACTTAAGGGCTGAGTTTGGTGGTTCATGCCTATAATTCCAGCACTTTGGGAGGCCAAGGCTGGTGGATTGCTTGAACTCAGGAGTTCAAGACCAGCCTAGGAAACATGGTGAAACCCTTTCTTTCCTAAAAATACAAAAAAATTAGCCAGGTGTGGTGGCACATACCTGCTGTACCAGTGACTCGAGAGGCTGATGTGGGAGGATCACCTGAGCCTGGGGAGGTCAAGGCTGCAGTGAGCCAAGATTATGTCATTGTACTCCAGCCTGAGCAACAAAGTCAGACCCTGCCTCAAAAAAAAAAAAAAAAAAAAAAAACTAAAAAAAAGTAATTTTTAAATATAATTTTAAAAAATATTTTTTGCACTAAAAAAACTACTTAAGGAGAAGAACAAACACACACACACACAAACAAATATGAAAATCAGGAGCCACAGAAAATAAACAAATGCATAATTAAATTATGTATAGGAGCTTAATAAAATAATTAGCATGATAAGGGCTGAAAGGGATCATATTGAATCATGAAACTGCTGGTATATGTCCTTAAGTACTTCACAAATTCTAAAATAAGTCATTGAGGCTTTGTTTTTGAACTAGAATCAAAATTTTCAATTTAGAAGAGGAATGTTTGTACTACAGATTGAGTGTCGCTTATCTGAAATGCTTGGTATCAGAAGTATTTCAGGCTTCAGATTGTTTTGGATTTTGGAATATTTACGTTATGCCAGTTGAACATCTCAAATCTGAAAATCTGGAATCTGAAATAATCCATTGAACATTTCTTTTGAGCATCATGTGTGTGCTAAAAAAGTTTCAGATTTTGGAACATAATTTCAGGTTTTCAGACTTGGCATGTTCAGCCTCCTTGATTTAGTGATGATATTTCGTCTCTGAGCTATCCTGAGCTCCTTGAAACCAGCTCCATGTCAAAGCTGGATGCACTGACCACAGCACGTGGCAGGTGCTAAGTGTACAGAGCTCATTCGATAACTGCTGTTAACTGTATTGATTGCTACTCCTTTTTTCTCCAAACTGTTTCCTATCTTCACATTTCCTCCATTTATTCTCCATCCAGTCAGTGCTGTCAAAGCAAGCTGCTTGCAAAGCTTCCTATGTCCATTTTGTAGAGCACCAGAACGATATATTTCTAATCATTGT